GTTTCAACATTTTTTTCCACGTGGGACAAACACTTCCCACATTTTGCATACCTATTTAGGCTTATCAAAACACCACACTTTGGAGCTAATTTCTCATTCACCCGGAAACGGATTTGAGAAAGTAAATATACCACGTTCATCTCCTTACGGAGAGAAACGTGCTCATCTAGAGATCCGCAAAAAATTATTAGCGGAATCTATTCCAAACCTCATCCAATGTTTATGTTTTTAATGCCCACGTTTTCAACATTTTGTTGCTAAATATACAATAATTTGCAACAAAAGCAATTTCGTCACTAAATATGCAATAATTTGCAACAAAACTAGATTGTTTCTAAAAATGTATCTATTTGCAACAAAATTAGATTGTTTCTAAAAATGTATTTATTTGCAACAAAAGTAGATTGTTTTTAAAAATGTATATATTTGCAACAAAATTGAATTTGCCACTAAAAGATAAAACAATTGCAACAAAAATATATTTGTTACCTAATATAATGCAATTTGCAACAAAAATATATTTGTCACCTCATTTAGTACAATTTGCAACAAAACTACCTTTGTCACAAGTGTTGATATTTAACAACAAATATTTTTAGTTGCCAATTTTTTAAAATTTGTGGATAAATGCATTAAAAATCATAATTTGGTTTTATTTTTTTGTTCTCAATAATGTTTTTCTTCCTCTTAATAAACTAATTTATAAGACATCTTTTTTTCTCAGTAATACCAAACATGTCAATTAAACAAATTATCAATTACAAAATATACAATCTAATACAAATGAAAAGGTAAAATATTATTTCATATATCCAATCATCCATACATATTCCAAATATGGGATCAAGACGAGATTCATATACATAGAGAATGACTAAACTTATACCCAACAATATAGGGAGATGGGCTTAGAAAAAATTCACTAACAAAAACTAATACCATCTACATGTAACCTGCCAACAATGGGGAGATGGGAGATCCATAAATACAATCCCTTGTGAGAATCAAAAGTACTAAAGTGAGTTTGTTTTAAGCCCAATGAAACAAAAAAAATATAGTCACTGGGTCTGCAACAAAAAGATGTAAAAAAGCTAATAAGCCCAACTACATGCAATCTGCCAACAATGGGAAGATGGGAGATCTATAAATTTAATCCCATGTAAGAACCAAAAGTACAAAAGTGAGTTTATCATGAGCCCATATGAAACAAAATATATAGTTAATGGCCTGCAACAAAAAGTCAAAAAGATAATCCCAGTCACATGTAATCTATCAACAAAATAGAAAAATTATGATTAGTTCAAACCACTATAACAAATTTAAGTTTCTTCAAGGTCTTCTTATATTTTCAAGGCCTTTTTTACACACTAAGAATGCAAAAATACAAACCAAATAACAAACCATAAGATAACAAATAATTATTAAAGAAGCACAAAAAAATATCTTAAACAATTCACATTAATACAAAAACCAACATGCTTGGAAAGATTACAAATACATTAACATGTTTGGTCTTCAACTATTGATGGACTTGCAGTAGGTGTTTCTGGGTTCGGTTCTCTTCTTCCTCTTTTTACACCTAACTTTACTCTTTAATTTAGAAAAGGGGCATCTATTTTAGCTTCATCTTCTTTTCCATCACCATTAACACCATCTCTCTTTCTTACACACACACAGTCAATATAAATATACACATATGCTAATGGGCATTGATTAGGGTTGATATAAAACCCCCCTTACAAAGGAATCCCACTCCCACAAAGTCTACACCTTTTAGAAAGAGAAAATCAAATGAGGAAATAAATTTTTGCACATATCAGGCAAGTGCAACCAATCCGCAAAATTGCGCCTAGTCGGACTTCTCAAAACTCCGTTGTGAGACAAGTGCAACATGTCCGCAAAAGTGCAATCGGTGAACTCCCGTTGTGAGATAAGTGTGAAAAGTCCGCAAAAGTGCGATTGATCGGATACTACACAATACCATGGTTGATACAAGTTGGATATACCGATCGTTAAAAATATGAACAGTCAGACTTCACTTCACACAAGTGCGATTGATCTGTAAAAGTGTGATCGCTCGGACTTCTCCAAAACTGTAATCTGACAAGGGACCAGGCTTCACAACCTCAACAATCTCCCACTTTAAGGTTAGAGCACTAGTAGATACATTCCATTAACTATCGGTGCATATCGGTGTATATCGGTGCGTGCTATGACTTTAATAATGCTCCCAAGTGCAAGTTGTTGTGAAGTAATATATATTCGGTGAGTCGGAAGTTGAACCACATTGAAAATGGTGAACAACAACTAAAGGTGAAAGAAAAGAAATATATATAAAATATTTTGGATATTTATAGGCCAGGGTTGATAATGGAGAATTTATTAAAGTAAAAATAATATTTCAAAAGTACTAAGGTCTAAGAGATCCCCACACAACAAATCCATGATATTTAATAACAATTTTATTTTATAAGACAATTGAGACTCATACAAAGGATCATCCAAATCGGAAGATATTGAAAGTTATTTTATCAAAAATATTTTGCGAAAGATAAATTCATAAAGTTGAATGATTCTTGACATGATAAAACTAGTTATTTGATTCGTTGGAAACTTTAAGCATTCATTGTAATGTCCCGAATTTTTCTGAATTTTTTTTATTTTTATTTTATTTATTTTTCGTGTCTCGTTTTACATATCACGTGAGTCTCAAGGAACGTTTAAGTCATTTTCTTGAGACAAGGGTTTTAAAAGTGTATTTTAATTATTTTAAGTTAATTAAAAGTGACGGGATCATTTTTAGAATTTTTCGGTAGTCGAGACGATTTTTGGGCTCAGGAACCTCTCCCAATTTTGCCATTTTCATTAAGGGGTATTGTAGACATTTCATTAATATATACATATATATATGTATCTAGACATGGAGGTAGATATTTTGGGGGATGTCTATGGCATTGCAAAGGAAGAGTGAGGGCAAGGTAGTAAATTGGTCAAAAGTTAATATTCACCCAATGAGTGACAAGTGGCATGTTTTGGAACTACCAAGCCAAATGTAAGACAAGCCAATCCTCACCTCCTCTGGATCAAAATCATCTGTTGTTCCACACGGTCCATATGTGTGGCCAAAAATTGGCCACGTTAATTAAAAAAAGCACTGCAGCAGATGGTAAGAAAAGTTTAACTCAGTGTATATATAATGTGTTTATATGTATATTTAATTGTAATTTCTGAAATACTAATTAATTATCTGAATACATAATATTAGCAAAATGTCTAAATTGCCTTTGTCTTTTTTCCCTCCCAAATCTTTGTTATAGGTCGTGGAAGTGGGAGGAAGGGGAAGAAAATTCTAGAAGGAAATGTAGGGAGGAGAAATACAGTTGGAAGGGAGTTGATTGTTGCAGAGGAATTCACAGATGGTAATTGATTTGCAAACATGCTGCAATCGTCTGGGTGTTCATCTGTTCAGATCGTCAGAAATTGATGTCCTTTTTGTTCTTGACTGGTATGATTTTCACGACTTTACACTGTATTTGCAATTAATTTTGTGTTTGTTTTATGTATTTATAGTTAAAATTTTGTTGAGAATTGCTTAAAAGGGTTGTTGGTGCATAACATAGGGCTGGTCGGAGAAATTGTATAAAAAAATTTCTCATCTGCCATTCTTTCAGTTATTGTAGTTTAATTCCAGTTAATTTGGTCTTAGTTTTCGGTATGCATATGAAATATTATTGGTTTATTGGTGCAGAGGTAGTTCTTGGTACATGCGCAACACTTGCTGGGTTCCCTTGACTCCATTTGTCAGTGTAGATCACTGAATTTTGATATGGTGGTGTGGTGCCTTAGGTTTAGAAATGGGTAGGATTAAGATGATAGTTCCAAAAAATAAAGGAAATAATGAGTAGTATTATCAACCAATTATAACATATCAAGTAAGAAAAAATGCATTTATTTAGTGGGTGTTTAAGATTTTTTCTGCACCACTAATAAGCGCTTTCAATCTAAAAAATTGAGTTGGAATTTGTTTAGTGAACCAAAAAAGCACTTTTAGGCTGTAGAGGTTTCATCCAAAAAGCACGTTTAAGTGAAGCTGGAAATTGTAATTTTTAAAATTGTAACTTTTAAAATTGCGTTAGGGGTAGAGATTAATCTTTTCAGGTAACTAATTTGTTTTAGACAATACAATTTCTCTTTATTTTTTATAAATATAATTTTGTCCTTTGTACAAACAAACAGCAAATTAATATCATAGTCATTTTGGGACTCTACTAGGTTGCCTTCCAACCACATTTGAAGTGTGTAGTTTTATTTAATGAAATGTTGTCTATACTACAAAGTATTATATTATTAAATTTTGTTATTAGATAGCATATGAACGAATTTGATTATTATATTACTAGAAGATCCCAAATCAAATACAAATTAATAATCATTAAAATATGTTTAACTCATTTATATTTTAATACTAAATGCAAATACTATATGATAAACAAAATTTGTGATATTTACAAAATAATAATAATAATAATAATAATAAATCAATACACATTGTGTCATCAAAGTAATTTATACAATGTGTCATCAAACGCATAACTATTTTTTACTGACAGTAATTTTATGACAACTCTACTGCTAAAAACACTTCCATCATTTTAACAACAATTTCAAACGGACTCTATTAAGTGGATCCTATCGCTACGTATCAATATTTAATTAGTAAATGATCAATATCATGTTATCATCAATATAAGAGGAGTATTAAATTATTTTTGGCATTAGATGGTTTGATGATGTTGGATTGACAAGTATGAAAAAACGCGCCAAGGTCTCTCGTATAGATGCCACACGGTACGGCCCAAAGTTCAACAGATTCAAGCGTTCCTTCAGTGGTCCAGCCTAAACATTTCAACTGAGTTGGACAAGCTCATCCTCAAATATAAAGCCCAGAGTTGTGTTCCACTTTAAATTTCAAACCCAGCTCAGATAAGCCCAACCCATCATTGTCCACCACTCGCTCCACCCAACTCATCATAAGCTACCGAGTTAACACACTTGTTCAGTGCCACTGAAACAGAGAGCACACAGACTGCGAGAGATGCTGGAGAGGGCGATCTCTGCACGCAGGGCGGCGCAGTTTAGCGAGGAAGGAGACGTGGACGACGAGTCCAAGACCCGAAAGCCCGTTTTGCTCGCTACGAGGGTCGCCAAATACTTGACCCGAACCGGGCACCTCTGGCCCTTTCTCTTCCTCTGTGTCGTCTTCGTCTTGATCTTTTCTCTCTTCGTTCACTCTCGAGATCTGGTCTGTGTCTCGTCGTCCTCCAACCCCATTTCTCGCTTTCGATTCTTCGGCTTCGATGACCTCGAATCTGATTTCGGATCCCTCGGCGTGCCCTGGTGTAAGTTATTTTACTTTCTCTCTCTATATAAGTGTGTGTTTGTGTGTGTGAGAGAGAGTGGGAGATCTGAACATTTTTGCAATTTATGGGTTCTGTAAATTTTGGGTTTTGTTCTGATCTGAATGAATTACTGCTTAATTTCTGTATCGACATGCGTTGTTTGATGGAATTTCTGTTTAATTTAGCTTCTATTTGGTTGTTGAGTAAATCAGTTCAAGAATGTACAGCGAAATTGGAACTCATGTTTTATGGAGTCTGCAATTTTCATTTTCTCCAAGCTTTTAAATAGTGCAAGATTTAAACCAAATATTGTCTTCTTTCTTACTTGAAATATAATAGGGGTTACTGAAGATGCAAGAAATTCCTTCTCCTCTTTCTCTCTCTAGAATTCTTACACCTCAACCCAAAAAGCTCCCTCTCCTTTCCATTCCATATCCTATTTATAGATATTTACAAGATATTTTCAAGATATTTACTGATTGCTGGATCTGGGCCTATTCCTCCATAAGCCCTGGTCACCTTTGATGGGCTTACTCCCGTTCGGCCCATATGGCAGTGTCTTTATAGGGGCCGACCCAGCTGTACGAACTGAATGTTGTGTTTGCGAGTCGGATCCGGCCCATATCGTCCGGGGCCTCCTCAACTGCCCCCATAATTGCCCCTTATTTAATAAGGGGTAATTATTGATGGCGTCTCATCATGATGTTGACGGCTCGAGATAACCACGTGGGGGAGCGGACGGTCAGATCCAGAATCAATGTTCCGGGGCTCGAGGAATTTCTCGCCTTCCCGACGCTTCGGCCCTCGGGCCCCCTCGCCTTTATAATGCTCTAGAATTCCACTTCACTTCCCTTTACCGTCTCCATCATCAGCCAAGTCTCTCTTTTTCTAGAACAGTGCTAAGCTTTTTCTGGTGAAATCCTTCAAGAGTCATTCTTCCAGCGATCTTGCAGTCCTCCGAGGTTAGTTTCGTTCTTTTTACTTTCGGCAGACTTCCATTTACCCCCTTTTAGATTCTTCTAGCACTTCCACCATGGTTGTAGATCTGGATGTTCTTCGTATGAGACTTAGACTTCCTGACAACATCGAAGTTAGGGTTTGCCCTCAGGATGTTAACATTATGACCGGCGCCGGCCTCCTGCCCGGCGAAGTCTTATTCACGAACCTTCAATTGAATGTTGTTAGGTTCCCTCTGCACCCTTTCTTTAGTTATGTCTTCAATAGATTGGGGATATCCCCTCTGCAGGTCAACCCCAACTTCTTTAGAATCATATCTGTTATGCTCTTGTTGATGCGTGACAGAAATCTGGACCTCGACCTCATAGACCTCCTTCTGTGCTGTAAGGTCAGTAAGATCCGTACTAACGAACCCTTCTACCACCTCTACCCGTTCGAGAAGATGTCCATATGTACGGACACAATAAAATCTGAGAAGGGTTGGAGGGATAGCATAGTGGGCATTAGTGGGGCTTGGTCTTCGCCGGCTGCAGAGGATTACCCAATCCCGAGCGCCTTTGGTGTCTGTTCTGTCTCCTCCTATAAGAAATTCAAATCTCATAAACATGACTGCCCCTGCGAAACATGCGTTCCTCGTTTTTGCACTTTCTTATGCCGTTCCTTGGGAATACCTTGTGATGACTTGAGCTATAGTGTTTGCAGGGATAGGAGTAACTACTTGAAGAAATACGTTCTGAACGATATTCCTTCCTGCTCAGATCTCCTCACTTCAGACAACCTCTTAGCGCTCTCATCACTCGGCTACAACATGAGCAGACTTCAGATTCCTTCTTTTGGTAGGAAGAAAAATACTCCCCCAGCCACTCCTGCTGCTGGGGCGACCTCCTCTCCAGCGTCAGCTTCTTCCTCAGCCACCATATCTGACACTGTCCCGAGCGCAGTGGCTATTAACCCTGTTGCCAGCGCCCCTGCTGCCAACCAGAACGCGTCCCCCCCAGCTACCATAGCTCCTGCTGCTGCGGGGGGCGGTCGGGACAAAGAACGAGGCAAAAGGCCTCATCCTGATAGTGAAGTCGATCCTGAGGAGGAGCCTCTCATTAGAAGGACCCGGGTCTCCGGGCCGGGTGCTCTCTTGCACCGAGCGGTCAGAGCTCCTGCTCCCTCTGGGCCTGCTGCAGCTGGTGGCTCTGCTTCTGCTTCAGGCCCCTCTTCTATCCCCACCTTACCGCCATGGGCCCCTTGGTACACCCGAACGGATGGGACGTTCGTGAAACCGAACGAGACCATGCTGAAGGATGGCCAGACCGCTATGGCCTACTACAGGAGCATGTGGACTCCGAAGGACCTTGAGGCGGCAAAGGGCCTTTCCCAGAAGGATGTGTTCAGTCGCTTTCCCCAATCTGCTATGGAGGTGACTTTTATTTTCTAACTCATGCATTTTCTCATATTATTTGGTCTTGCCTTCGCCCGACCTGACTATTGGCTTAACCGTTTTTAATGTGCACCTATGCAGACATTGTTCGGAATGATGGCCATGCAGAAGCAGGTGGAGATGGGGAACGCCAGGGCCCGTAAGTTTTCTGACAGCCTGGAGGTGGCTAATAAAGAAAACGACCTTCTCGCCATGAAGAATACCGAGGTACTGGCTCGGCTTGACAAAACCGAGCAAGAGAGAGATGTCCTGAAGAAGGAGAATGATTCCCTTCAGGATGAGAAGGACGCCCTCCAGCTTGAGAAGAGCGTCTGGCAGACCGAGCGGGAATCAATTAGAGAAGAGAAGGCAGAACTCCAGCGCCTTCTAGCTGATGAACAGTCTGCTCGGATGGCTTTTGAAAAAAGAGCTCTGGACGAGCGTACCGCTCTGATCGACGCGATCAGCAGAGTGGGTGGTGGGATGCTGGCCCTTCACGCTCGGTTCTCAAGGGTCGGTGCTCTTAGGTATGCTCAAGGATTCCGGGAAGGTTTCGCCGACCGGGTTCCGGATGAGGGACAGACCAGCTCCACTCCGGATGAGGTAGACAAGGATCTGGGGATCGAACCTCTGGGGGTCTATGTCGACCCAGAACCCACCGAAGCGGAGCGTATATTTGATGAGTGCCAGGATATTGCTTCCTCCAGGATCATCACAGCTCCTCCTACCGCTCTGCCACTGACCGCTCCTCAATCGTCAACCGTGGTTCCTTCCATAGCCACTGCTGACGCTGAACCCCAGCCGAACGATTCAGTCATTCACCTTGATTCCCCACCTCATGAAGGTGAGACGGCTGATGGGGCCGAGGAGGCGAGTCGGCACGACCAGGATGCTGTTGGTACTGAGGCGTCTAGCTAGGGCTCCTTTGAATTCTTCCATTCCATATCTTTTTGTAATGATGGACATCTCTCTTTTGTAAACTCAATGCTCAATATTAATGAAACGACAGAACTCTTTTTCCCTATGTGTTGTGCTCTATTCAACTTATCTTCAATACATACATATCTCTTCTCTCTTTTTCTTTTATATTAGCTTTGCCGTGTGTTTGTTTATGGCAAGTGCCTGGCGCTCGGCTAGGATGCCACTTGCCACTTGGCTTTAAGTTTTTAGCAAGTGTCTGGCGTTCGGCTTATAGTGCCAGCTGCCACTTATCTTGCTTAAGTGCCTGGCGCTCGGCTAGGATGCCACTTGCCACTTGGCTTTAAGTTTTTAGCAAGTGTCTGGCGTTCGGCTTATAGTGCCAGCTGCCACTTATCTTGCTTAAGTGCCTGGCGCTCGGCTAGAATGCCACTTGCCACTTGGCTTTAAGTTTTTAGCAAGTGTCTGGCGTTCGGCTTATAGTGCCAGCTGCCACTTGTCTTGCTTAAGTGCCTGGCGCTCGGCTAGAATGCCACTTGCCACTTGGCTTTAAGTTTTTAGCAAGTGTCTGGCGTTCGGCTTATAGTGCCAGCTGCCACTTGTCTTGCTTAAGTGCCTGGCGCTCGGCTAGAATGCCACTTGCCACTTGGCTTTAAGTTTTTAGCAAGTGTCTGGCGTTCGGCTTATAGTGCCAGCTGCCACTTATCTTGCTTAAGTGCCTGGCGCTCGGCTAGAATGCCACTTGCCACTTGGCTTTAAGTTTTTATAGTAGACCGTTGGAAAAGAAAATTCTTTTTTTTGTAAATTTCAGTAACTTGCTCATTCATATGTATTTGATTGACAACAAACAACATCCAATTGAAGCCGGAACTTAGCTTTTATTGGTAGTACCTCTTCAGAGACGTGGCGTTCCAGGGCTTGCTGACCAACCTTCCCGCCATGGTTTCCAACGTATATGCCCCCTTGCCAATGACTTCTGCAATTCTGTATGGGCCTTCCCAGGGTGGCATCATTTTTTTGACCATCCCCACCTTTCTTTTCAGAACCAGATCGCCAGGGGCAAAATCCCTGTGTTTTACTCTCTTGTTGTGACTATTCGCCAGCACTTGCTGATACGATGCTAGCCTTATAGCCGCTGCGTCCCTCTTTTCGTCTATCATATCGAGGTTCAATCTTAACATCTTGTCGTTCTGATCTCGACTTCATGCTAAGCTTCTGATAGTGGGGACTAAATGCTCAACCGGTATAACTGCCTCGGTGCCATACGCCATTGCGAACGGGCTCTCCCCAGTCGGCCGCCTTGGGGTGGTTCTGTAAGCCCATAGAACGTTCGGGAGTTCATCCAACCACTTCCCCTTATGATCTTCCAGCTTCTTCTTAATGCAGGCGAAAATGGTTCTGTTTGTGATTTCTGCTTGTCCGTTGGCCTGAGGATGACTTACTGCAGCCAACTTCTGGTTGATTCCATACTCCTCCAGCAGCTTTCTTACTTGCCTGCTGTCGAGGTTTGTGCCATTGTCCATGACTATTGATCTGGGAACACTGAAACAGCAGATAATATTGTTCCAAATAAATCGTCTCACATGAGTCTGAGTCACGCTAGGATACGGTTCTGCCTCCACCCATTTAGTGAAGTAATCCGTGGCCAGTAACACATACTTGTTCTGAGCTCTTGCAGTTGGCAGAGGACCGACCACATCCATCCCCCATTGCG